AACCAAAAAAGAACATGTGACATTAGGAAGACTGTTGATGAGGTGAAAGTTCAAAAACACACACAGGTACTGAGTGTATACAGTGTGGCGTATTATCTGCTCAGAACGATCCTTTTAGAGAAATCTGTGTTCAGTCTTCATTTACATCCAGATGTACCTTGTTCACATTACGTCATCATGCTATCATGGTCAAGATGGAAAGTGTAAGGTCTTAAAATGTCATGCTCAAAATGTTAAACAGAAAAGCTGCCCAATAGTAGCAAATCTGGTGTGAGCTCAAAACCCAACTCAGCTTATGAGCTCACACCAATGGTTATAGTTTGATGACAAAATGTGTCTTTTAAAAGAAGCATGGCTCTCTGGAAAACAGCATCAAAAGATTAGTGCATATCTTTGTGACTCACACGTCATTGTTTTTCCTCAGATGACTTTGGACAGCGTGCCTTGGTGGGTAAGGTGTGCATGGACAGAAACAATTCTGTGAAACATTACAAGGAAACCAGTCAGGAGTCTCAAGAAGAAACCTGCAGGTGGGCACAGACGTTTTAATACTAGCAGATGTGTGAGGCTCTTTTGCATGTTTAGTCGGGTCTAGCTCCACTGTACAGAGCTGAAAGAGGGGAAAAATATTGAAAGAACCTGCATTTTAACAGGATGTATGAGTGTGACTATCCTGGTCTGAACTTCTTTTTATAGTCTATGGTCTGAACTAATATGCGTCTTAAACTTAGGTTTCTTGATTAAAGTAAGAACATATCTGTTTGATATATGTAACCACAATCTGCTGCAGCTGAGTTAACATTTTAGATGTACATGTTTTGAGTATTTTGTAATCTGTTAATGTATGACTGACCTGCAAGAGTTACAATTTCTATTGTATCCCCCCCTTCAAGGTTCATTGCAGAGCTCTTAAACAAAAAGGTAAGATTTCTTTTTTTTGGGGGGGGGGAACAATTCAGGTTAGTCTGATTTTTTTTAAGACTCTGTTACTCTGTTTTATTTTTTCCTGTAGTACCCACGGGTAAAGCCGGTAGTGACTCCACGCTTCGCTCCATCCTGCACAGGAGCCTTACTAGGACAGCTGGGAGCGATCGCTAAGAATAACAACCTGCACATTCAGGTGAGCTCATTGTGACAACCAAACCAGGCTATGTCCACAGGGGACTGTTGGATGCTGTTTCTAAAGAGACCACAAAGAGTTGTACCTGTGGGGGTTTTAGAAGAACATAGTAAGTACATGCAAACACTATTTTCAGCAGTCAAACGCTGCCTGGCAGGAATAAAAAAAATACATATTCCATCATGACAATTCGATGTTGTCCAGTCTTGTCTGAGGGAACAAAAGTTGTTCCTAAACTATGAAAAAGCTTGTTCATGTTGTTTAAACATTTAAGTACCAACAAATGTCCCATTGACTTTAACTTCCCAAGGAAATCAAATCGAGCGTGTCAAAAGCTACAAGTACTTGGGTTTTCTTATTGATTGTGAGCTGTCTTTTAAAGCACATCTCTCTAAATTGGCCTCTAAACTGAAGGTGAAGTTGGGATTTTATTATAGAAATAAATCCTGCTTTTCCCTCAGAGTGAGGAAACTTCTTGTTTCATCAACCTTTCTTCCTTTGTTGGATTATGGAGCTGTGCTGTATATGGGCGCCTCAGCCATTGGACACCGTGTATCACTGTTCGTTGAGCTTTGTTACTGGTTGTAGACGCATTACTCATCACTGTGATTTGTACACTAAATCTGATTGGCCATCTTTGAAGGTGTGCAGCTATATATACTGGCTGAGTCTTATTTATAAAGCTCTTATTGGTTTAGTTCCTTCTTATTTATGTTCATACCTTCAAAGAACCAGACGCCACTATGCCTTGTGTTCCTGTGATGTTTTAAAACTGTCTGTTCCTCGTTCCTGTTACTTAATCATGTCATATTTATTATGACATATGCTGCTGCTGCCCTCTTGGCCAGGTCACCTTGTGAAAGAGATCTTGATCTCAGTGGGTTAATTACCTGCCATAAAGATTAAATAAAAATAATAATAAAAAGACATGAAACTTAAGTTATCTTTTATTACACAACTCCTGCTCTGTCTCAATGCTATTGTCTATATCGTTCCAAGATTCCCCTAAGGCACCAATTTAACCTCTGTTATACAGTTAATGTTTTTTTTTTTTTTTTACAGAGTCATATCAGCGAAAACGTTGAGGAGGTGAAGCTTGTAAAGGATATGTTTCCTGAATCAGAGTCTTACACACACATCTACCACAAATACAACCTGCTCACTGACAAGGTGGGGAAGTCACACTAACATCCTATTAATAAAAGTGCTGTTATAAGAATGCCTTAAAAAGGTGTTACTTGTGGTGTTATGATTTACAGACAGTGATGGCCCATGGCTGCTACCTCTCCGATGAAGAGTTGAATCTGTTCAGAGAGACAGGAGCCTCTTTGTCTCATTGTCCCAACTCCAACATTTCGTAAGTTTCACATAGCTTCTGGATTACAGCTTCAATGTTATGGAGAAAAAAGATCCCCTAAAGATTATGCAAAACACTTATTTTTACAATCCAAAAACACTAAGCGGTATAACACTGTATAACATTGTAAATCGTTAGAAATGCAACAGATGAGGTTTTAATGATTCATATGATGAAATTGGGTTGTCATGGCAATATATTCTTCTGTCTCAAATATATGACTCTGTAGAAACATAATATACAGTTCTTCTGATCATTTTTACACTGTATGAGAAACCTCTTTTTTTCCCATCTGCCCAGGTTGTGCAGTGGTATTTTGAACGTCCGCAATGTCCTGAAACATAAAGTGAAGCTGGGGCTCGGAACAGGTAGGAGCACATTTTTACACTTGGAAACTCGAGTTCAATATTCTGCAGCATTGAAGTAATTAAGGACATTGTTCTGTACTTGTTTGGTTTTGCAGCAGTCACTCATTTTATAGTTTTAGTGGATGTAATCTGTAGAGGTTTGGCACGCAGGGCAGCTGACCATCACCTGATCACTTTTTTTGGGAGCTTTGCTGGTTTATAAATCCAACTGGATTTACCAGGCCTCGATCTGACGTTCTCCTTTTATATACCCACCATACATGTTTGTGAAATATAATATAATACATATTTGTATTCATTTGGTGTATCCGCCCTGTGCTCAGATGTTGCAGGGGGTTACTCTGCCTCCATGCTGGACGCTGTGAGGAGAGCTCTCGACTCGTCCAAAGTGTTGACCATCCAGGACCCGGAACACGAAACACTCACCTTTGAAGAGGTGTTCAGACTGGCAACACTGGGAGGCAGCCAAGGTATAACATTAACAACCCAGTATATTAACAACCCAGCTGTCACTCAGAAACAGAGGCATTGTGTAGAATTAACAACAAAAAAACTTGTGTCTCCGTGTTTGTCCCTATCCCTATCACAAGTCAGTTGTTTAAGCTGGAGTGTCATTGCCAACTTTAAGATAGTCTGTATGAGAAGCGTGCAGCAGAAATGCCTGATTCACTACACCAGAGGCTGCAGGAAGATATTTTCAGTGGTGACTGATTGTGATTTTACGGGGTGAAGGGAATACAACAGCATCTTTTATGACATGTTTTTTTTTTCTAGCCTTGTCCATGGACGACCAAACAGGGAACTTTGAAGTGGGCAAAGACTTTGACGCTCTGAGGGTGAATGTAGCTGCTCCTGGTGGACCCATGGACCTGATCCAGTCTGACGCACCAAAGGTTTGTAATTGGGGACTATCTTAATACTGTACAATGGAGCACATAAACCAGATTCCAGTTAAACACTTGTTTATTTTTATAATTTCAGATCCTTTTGGAGAAGTTCTTGAATTTGGGTGAGTGTCATTTTAGTTGTCCTAAAGTTTCCAGACTCAAGTGTGGCAGGACTAACTTGCTTTATGTTTGGTTACTTCCTATTTCGCAGGTGATGATCGAAACATAGTGGAGGTGTTTGTCGCAGGCAGGAAGGTGGTTCCTTTCACAGACAAAAATGAGTAAACACTTGGATCATCTGCTCACCTTCACGCGTCTCACTGCCTAAAACCCACCAGGAAACTTAGCTTGAAGAGGACTGAACAACTAAAACACATCAGTGATAATATTTGAGCAGCTGCAAACGACCCATGCTTCATACATTTTGCTGCTACACACTTCCCTTTAGACATTGTCACATTAAACATTATACTGTTAAATCCTGAAGATTTTTTAAATTAGGTTCAGTGAGGGTCATGAAAGACTTTGGTCAGCTGTGTTCAAATTCTGTCTTCTCCAAGTCTTAATGGCTGATTACAGGATTTACCACAGGAAATAAGGGACTTATCAAGAGCTGTGAACCTTTCCCGTTATCTGTTAGTCATTGCAGCTAGTTGGCTTGTTGCTAATTCTATATTTTAACTGAACTATCTGAAAAAAAATCTGATCTTTTGCTTATTTGTTGTAGGCTTTGTAGTTTTATTTACGTAAATCTTTCACTTAAACTAGCACATTTAAAAGAACAAGTGGACTCCAGAGTGTGTGACTTATTTTCTATTTGATGTGGAGATGACATTGTTGCCTTAAGAAATCAAAACATCCTAGAAGTTCAATCGGAATGTCAGACTTTGTCCTGGTGTTGTAAAGGTGCGCCGTGTAGCTGCGGTGCCTCGCCTTAGTTAGTCATCTTTAGGACATTGCTTTTGTTGCTGAGATTGTTTTGAGATTGTTTTGAACAGAACAGAAGACCTCAGTTCTACTCACTCATCCAGTTTTAATAGTGCACTCCTATCTTGTGTTTGAAAAGACAAAGGCACATGATCATATTCTAATCTCTAATGCACAAATGGGGATCTATCTTTATCTTTATCTTTATCTTTGGTTTCACTTTAACTCACTCAGTTTCTCATGAAATTAAAATCATGTTGCAGCAGTATGTCTACAGCTATTGTCTTAAGAAGTTACTATTAAAAACAAATTTAAACTTACTTTGGATTTTACATTTTTACTTCAAATCCCATTCTGATTTGATTAAGTGGAAAGTCAAATTTTACTTAACTTGGTGCCTTAAGATCAAAATCATTTAACTTTCTTACGACTGCTTTATGGCTGACATTGTTTTTCTTTTTAGCTCAATGTAGATTTTCCTCAATGCCACAATATATTTTTAATGATGTAAATGTAAATCAATACAATGTGTCTTATGAATATTTGCTAGATGAAGGGGAATTAAATGCACTGATTGCTGAATATGTGTTTGTCTTTTGTAAATTAAAATGTATTCAGACATAATCACTCTTTGACTCTGGATTTTAAATGTAAAATCAGAATGCTAAGAAATCTATTCTTTGGTTTATTTCATGCTATTCTCTCTAATGTGCAGTTATTCAAGGGGCAGCTTCTCGTCGCAAACCATATTTCAAGATGTACAAATGTGTGAATTCACAAAATGTGTAACTGACACTTCCAGCACGCTCACAGTTTCTTTAATCGACTATCTTCACCATCTGGTCCAGACAGCAGAGAGGGTTATATAGCAGTAGCATATAAGTGAGACATGACGATGGTGTCTGACCCTACTGACATGCCCTACTGACAGTAAGGACTGTAAGTGATAGCTGCCACAGCCATTAGAGGGCGACACTGTGCTTGGAACCGCCAGTTATCACATATCTGCACTCATTAAAGTCCTCACAACAGACACAAAAATCGAATACATAATATTTACAAAACTTGTCAAATGCTGATAGTTAAGATTGTGTCTCATCATGTGGTAGTTTATTGATTCAGTTCATGTTTGAAAAAGGAAGCCCATGTACAACTTTTTAGAATAAGCAAAGCAAATGAAGTCACACATGAGAGACACTGATTTTAGATTCAATAAAAAAAAAGAAGGATTTAGAGTTAAAAATCTAAGATCCCCCCAAAATGATATTAATGTGAGTAAATACAGTAGTTACCAAATCCCCAAAATGTAAGTACAGTTTGTTTCTCCCTCCGACCTGTTTTTATTTTTATTTTCATGTAAAATAATGTGTTAGGTGTTTTTCACCTGTATAAAAAATGCATACTTTTTACTTTGTTGTATTTCTCTGTGTATATCTGTTGAGCCAATTGTTGCAGAATATGGTAAACAATACAAAGGCCTATATGGAGCTTTTTAGAGCTTTTAGAGCTGATGGTGGTAGTAATCTATGTCAACAAGACTACTATTTCATTTAGTTTCATTTTAAGTGTTACAACTTAGAGATATTTAAATTTAAGATCATCTTAAATTGAAATAAGATTAGGATAATCTTTTTCATAAAGGTAATCACTGTGTCCTCATCATGTATGGAAAAATTAATTTCCCCTGGTAATCGATCCTGCTTTTTGTTTGTTTCTGCTTGAATCAAATAAATGAATCAGAACCTTTGGACATTGTGAACAGTGTTATTAAATACTTATAGGCTACTTTTTGTCTACCAATGCACACTTAATCTTTGTGGAGCACGGAACATGTTGACAGAAGCGAACATGTTTCTTATTTCTCATAGTTTCCAATATGATATGGTATGAAACTAAACATTTGGTCCTCAAATTGCTCACAAATTATTAAAGAACTTGTAAATGCTGTATGAAAAACGCTTTCGAAGCCCTTTACTATCCCTATATTAACCCCGACACAGTCTTGTGGGTATTGTGCCCTAATTATTGTCTTTAAGGACTACACCACATGGGTGGCTTCTGCAAAAAAGAAAAAAGAAAAAAAAAAAAGGTCAATTTGTATAAACTGGTAATGCACAGATGGTTTGGTATATAGATCAATATTGGCGTTCACGGTTTGTTTCTTGATTAGATGGGCATAGTCCGTCAAGCCTTAGAGGAAATGATGCCTGAAAGACGAAATTCAGGTCTTCAAATTCTCCACATTCAGTCAGGAAGTGCAATGAGCAAAGGTTGGCTGTCACCTCTGTAACCATGGTCGTTACTCATTTCTTTTTCTTTACATCCATGTCTTCTTGTTCAGTGGACATAAAGTGTTATTATTGATTTGACGGGTAGGTCTTACTGAAATAATAAGTTATTGCATTTGTAATATTACGCCGAATAAATTCATTTATATCCTCCCATCTCTCGGACTTTCCTCTTCAATGTTCTCGGCTGAATTGACTTACTGTGTTAGAGTAGCTTGATAATCATTAAAAGTGAATCTACTTCTTTCATGTGAGATTAAAAAGTATAAACCTAAAGCCTGTCAAAGTGTCTTCTTTTACAAAAGAAACAACGAACAGACAGTAGAAATCCCTTCTTGTTTATGTCTGAAATTGAGCTCTGAAAGTCCTGGAGATAGAGCTTATACAACTTCTACAGTTTGGCCTATTATCATTTATTATTTTATTTATAATTTACTTATTATTACGTTTTTTATGAATCAGCATCCAAATAATTATAACAATCATTATGAAAATCTAAACCGCAGTCTTTCCCAAACTCTCGGGCCTTTAAAACCTGTTTATCGTTCACTTATTTCATATTTATTGACCTGATAGTAATTTGCCATGACATTTTCTTTCTTTCTTGTCTATCTGGTTCATCTTGATACAGAGTCAGCATCCACCTCCGCTCTGAAACCAGCTGCTGCAGCCCAGCGATGCCTCTGTTTCGGGCTTCGGGGGAAAGTGGCGGGGTGAAGCCTCGGCAGAGGAGGATGAGGAATAGGAAGACAGATGAAGACGGCTCTGTACTTTCACTTACACGCCTCTGTCTGCTGAGCCTTGCTGACAACATGAACGACGTGTGGGCCAAGACTATGCTGATAACTACCTGGATCACTATTTCTTCAGACACATCATGGGGCCTTTCAACTTACTGTGTGAGCTACTGAGGGCTTCAGTGACAACCAGCGGCTTTACTAAGGACCCAGCATCCTAAGGACCTAGCCCATGAAGGACCAGCCCATGAAGGACCCAGCCTACCAAGATCCAGCATCGTAAGGACCCAGTCCATGAAGGACTCAGCCTACTAATGGCCCAGCCTACTAAAGACCAAGCTATGAAGGACCCAGCCTACTAAGGACCAGCCTACTAAGGACCCAGCATCCTAAGACCACCCATGAAGGACCCAGCATCCTAAGACCAGCCATGAAGGCCTACTAAGGATCCAGCATCCTAAGGACCAGCCCATGAAGACCCAGCATCCTAAGGACCCAGCCCATGAAGGACCCAGCCTACTAAGGATCCAGCATCCTAAGGACCCAGCCCATGAAGGACCAGCTACTAAGGACCCAGCCCATGCTGGACCCAGCCTACTAAGGACCAGCATCCTAAGGACCAGCCCATGAAGACCAACCTACTAAGGACCCAGCATCCTAAGGACCCAGCCCATGAAGGACTCAGCCTACTAAGGACCCAGCCTACTAAAGACAAGGCTATGAAGGACCCAGCCTACTAAGGACCCAGCATCTAAGGACCCAGCATCCTAAGACCCAGCCCATGAAGGACCCAACCTACTAAGGACCCAGCATCCTAAGGACCAGCCCATGAAGGACTCAGCTACTAAGGACCCAGCCTACTAAAGACCAAGCTATGAAGACCCAGCCTACTAAGGACCCAGCATCCTAAGGACCCAGCATCCTAAGACCTAGCCCATGAAGGACCCAGCCTACTAAGGACCCAGCATCCTAAGGACCCAGCATCCTAAGGACCTAGTCATGAAGGACCCAGCCTACTAAGGACCCAGCATCCTAAGGACCCAGCCCATGAAGGACCCAGCCTACTAAGGACCCAGCCTACTAAGAACCCAGCCTCCTAAGGACCAGCCATGAAGGACCCAGCCTACTAAAGAACAAGGCTATGAAGGACCCAGCCTACTAAGGACAAAACAAACAATATCTTGGTCTACTAAAAGGAAATCAACCGATTCATCGATTAAAAGGGAGACCAACCCCACACACACATTTGCTGGAGTGCATCACTTAGAGAGGCCCTTAGGAACTGAATGACTCGGTCCGTGGCCGCTTTCTTCAGTTTCTGAGGCATCCCTTCAGGAAGCCAGTTGAGGGACGATGGCTTCGACCTTGGCTGTACCAAGCCTCCTGAATAATAGTATATAATGAGTCCTTGCGATTAACGGTTCAATATAACTAGCAGGGTTTTTCTTCCATTGTATGATATTGGACGGATGACCTGATGTTACTAACATTCACCCAAGAAAGAATAGCTTAAATCAGCATATAAACCCAGTTCAAAAGAGCAAAAAGGACAGTAAGTTTTAACAGTAGAACAAAACTTTCGTAGCCTTTTCCCATGCCATCTTTGAGGCAGAGAGCTGCTCACAACAGACACTGCCAACCTAGTTTTTGTGTCAGAAGTAGGGCTGAAAGAGAGAGA